CTAAGAATAATCAGCACCAAAATATCAGATGAGGTTACAATGCACATATTAAGGGCCTTATATAGTCTTTATATAAGATTTCAATGTGCATGATCAGGGCCAAAACGTAATTGAGGTTACAATGTTATGTACAGTCTCAGGCCATCAAGCCTCACTTTTAAACAAAAAGACGCAATAAGCCTCCATCAAAATTACACTCATTGTACATGTTGAGGGGCTATAAGCGTAAAGAAAAGCTTACAAAGTATGTGTAGAGGGACAATAAGCCAAAAGGAAGCTTACAATGTACATGTAGAGGGGAATAAGCCTTATTGGAGTTTTCGAAGTACATGCAGAGGAAGGCACATACTGAGGGGCAATAAGTTTAAAGAAAGGCACATACTGAGGGGCAATAAGTCTAAAGAAAGGCACATACTGAGGGGCAATAAGCCTAGCTTAGTCAAGGTTTATATGAAGTACATGTTGAAGGACAATAAGTCTAAACTGAGGTTACAATGTACATGGTCAGGGCCAGCAAGCTTTAGTTGACATTCTACTTTTCATGATGAGGGCCAGCTATTGCAATCCTTGCACATGAAAAAAGTATATAGGACACCACAAGACTATCCCATCGTATCAATCAATACAGTGATCTTGTTTCATTGGCAATACATCAGAATTACGGGAGATCAAGCCGCAGACATCAGGATACTATCTCATAAGTATGCTGATGTTGGGGTATATTTATAAACTATCAAGGGCATATCAACATAATGGAAACGGCAGCATGATAAGCCTGACGTCATAAAAAGCTCATCATATGTAAAATGCGGAACAAGAGCCTACCTCAATGGATGGTAGACATGACATACATACCTAGGGAGCACTGAAGAATGGATTGGATGGCAAACAGGGTCAAAGGGTAACAGCACAGGATTGGGCCAATGGGGACTAAAACAAGGACAGGCAATGTTCTCCGGGAAGGAGGACGGGACAGACAGAAGGACTACTCAAAGGCAAGAGAAACAAGTAGGAAAGGCAATGTTCTTTGAGGGGTGGGGTGACTAGGACATATTACTGATCAACTGATTGACATATGCCATAAAGGTCCTAGCTGGGACAACATTAAGTAAGCTTTAAAACATCCTTACTTATGATAACAAAAATGTGACCGAGTGAGTGATAATACCAGACTGCCCACGTTGTAAACCAATATATCGGTCAAATATGCAGATCAATATCTATAGCGGTCAGTTACCTACTTGTTCTTCTTCCTCAAGTGTAACAGTAGCTCTATGTCATCCATTATCTCCAAACCTACTTGCTCCAATTTTTCACCTCTAAGACAACAGAACAGGCCAAGGATGAGGACAACACCAGGGGTTACCACAGAACACTACCAGGCCAAGGATGAGGACAACACCAGGGGACACCACAAAACACAACCATGCCAAGGATGAGGACAACACCAGTGGACACCACAAAACACAACCAGGCCAAGGATGAGGACAACACCAGTGGACACCACAGAACACAACCAGGCCAAGGATGAGGACAACACCAGTGGTCACCACAGAACACAACCAGGCCAAGGATGAGGACAACACCAGTGGTCACCACAGAACAGGCCAAGGATGAGGACAACACCAGTGGTCACCACAGAACACAACCAGGCCAAGGATGAGGACAACACCAGGGGTCACCACAGACCACTACCAGGCCAAGGATGAGGACAACACCAGTGGACACCACAGAACAAAACCAGGCCAAGGATGAGGACAACACCAGTGGACACCACAGAACACAACCAGGCCAAGGATGAGGACTACACCAGTGGACACCACAGAACACTACCAGGCCAAGGATGAGAACAACACCAGGGGACACCACAGAACACTGTAACCAGGCCAAGGATGAGGACAACACCAGTGGACACCACAGAACAGGCCAAGGATGAGGACAACACCAGTGGTCACCACAGAACACAACCAGGCCAAGGATGAGAACAACACCAGTGGACACCACAGAACACTGTAACCAGGCCAAGGATGAGAACAACACCAGGGGACACCACAGAACACTGTAACCAGGCCAAGGATGAGGACAACACCAGTGGACACCACAGAACAAAACCAGGCCAAGGATGAGGACAACACCAGTGGACACCACAGAACAAAACCAGGCCAAGGATGAGGACAACACCAGTGGTCACCACAGAACACAACCAGGCCAAGGATGAGGACAACACAAGGGGTCACCACAGAACACAACCAGGCCAAGGATGAGGACTACACCAGTGGACACCACAGAACACTACCAGGCCAAGGATGAGAACAACACCAGGGGACACCACAGAACACTGTAACCAGGCCAAGGATGAGAACAACACCAGGGGACACCACAGAACACTGTAACCAGGCCAAGGATGAGGACAACACCAGTGGACACCACAGAACAAAACCAGGCCAAGGATGAGGACAACACCAGTGGACACCACAGAACAAAACCAGGCCAAGGATGAGGACAACACCAGTGGACACCACAGAACACAACCAGGCCAAGGATGAGGACTACACCAGTGGACACCACAGAACACTACCAGGCCAAGGATGAGGACAACAACAGGGGACACCACAGAACACTACCAGGCCAAGGATGAGGACAACACCAGGGGTCACCACAGAACACTACCACACTGACGATTCACCAATCTCAGGTTTTAAACTCCAATCATTACCAGGAATTTAGTTTGTAACCATCAGCAAACTTTTTGATATATCGAAAACAATCAACTAAAATCAACACTATCTACTTTAATGTCTGTTTCCTTATCTGCCATACACCCAACAGTGGACTTTACAACATAATAGACCAATCTACATGATAAGTTTCTTTTCCTTTACAACTCCAGAATTATCTCATTTACAAGGTATTCTGCTAATTCCAAAAAGGATGATTCACACCAGAAGTGTTTTTCCCACACTCCTTTAGTGTTAAACTGTGTATAGAGACTGACATTCTGTAACTCTGGTTTCTTCCTTGCTTGTTTGTGGACATTACAACGGAAATATTAACATTTGAATCAGAGTTAGGATTTGAAACATGTGAATCTGTCTTCTGTGTCCTTGTTGATATTAGATCCACCTACATCAACAAGGTCAAAGGTCAGGGGTCACTCACCAACTTTGAAACAGCACCTTGATTCAGGTAATGTATTAACAGGTTGAACTGGTAGCGTATTATCTTTGTGCAAGGAGAAAAAATAGTTGAAAATAGAAGGTAGAGAATATCTGCCTTTGTTTTACTTTATTTTCATCCAAATGTGTAGGAGTACTATTCTGACAGTTTCCAACAATGACAAAAATCCACAAAAATTATATGTTATTTAGTCATCAATAAGTTTTCAATTTAGAATATTTTTTTTCATTGATGTTGAAAGAATTTGTACACCATGACAGTGATTAAATTTGCTAGAAGAACTTGCCTGCTCCATTTTTAACTCATTTCCCCCTGAAATTTAATATTGAACAATTCCAACCTTTGAATTGGAAGAGTTCAAATGTTTCTTCAAGGGTGAATGAGTTAAAAAAAAGATCTTACTGTAATGCTATGATATTAGTCAGGTGAACATGTCGAAGTAGTTATCAATGAAGATCAATCTGTTGACCTGGTATTTAAGTTGACATGTATTTTATAATATACTTAATTCTGTTTTAACCTCATCAATCACAACCAATATATACTATAGAAGTGAACTATTCCAAACAGGTTTAAATGACATTTAATTCCACAGACATCTGCATGCATTACTGCTAACATTGCGATCTGGTGATCCAGCAGAAATAAAATCTCGTCAACATAATTGACAATTAAAGTTGAATGAAAGCTTCCAATAGCTTTTATCAAGAAAACCACACCAAGAGCTACAGTTTTCAACAATATGGCTTTTAATCTGACAACTTTAAATGACAGACTGAAGGTTTGTAAGCCACTAAATAAAAATCATTTAAAAATTGGAAATTTTACCATCAATGTAACTGGAAACCCCAAATAAGCTTGCCAATATTGAATAAAGAATTTGTCATTGATCCTGAAAAGTGAACAGCTTAGCCGTGTAGGAAGAAAGCCCCAACCTTTCATGTTGCTGGTAGCAAACGAACCATGTGCTGCTAGATTTGTTTCAGAAATACTTCAATGTAAATACAGTAAGGTTTTCTTTCAGTATTCATTTCATTAGTTAAACTTAGATGAGAAGTATTGAATCTTAATGAGTTCAAGCTACTCTCCAACATTCTCCCCATCAACCCTAATCACATTTACACCCATGTCAGCTGCTCCGAACTGTAGTCTATATGTTTTCTGCCAGTTCAAGTGATTTAATATTGATGTCTTTTCTAAACTTAATCTCAAACAGTGCATGTCACAGTCTCGTAAAAGTCAAACTCTCTTGTATTTTAATCAAGTACAGATTGGAACTCTTTTATATTTCCAATCAGTACAAAGTGATGTGTTCGGAGACACATGTGATATATTACATGGTTGTTCCGAAAAAAATTGAAAACTTCAATCTCTGGAGAAAAACCCCACTAACTGCAGGAAGGATGCAGTCATTTTGAAGTAGCTGGAATATTTCTCCTACATAATTAACACAATTCTTACAACAAGTAAAGGTTTGTTGGTTAATATCATACACTGGTATACAATATACATCTGTGATACAGACAAGTTAGATAAAATACCATCACAATATATAGTGAAGCAAACGTATAAATATAATGACGGCTATATATACACAACACCACCGGGTACGAAGCATTATAATGTTAAAAAATCCTTTCCGTTAAAATTGAGTAAAATAAAATACTAAGGGTGAAGCTGAGGGTACCATACCTGTCAACTCTCAACAATTAATTTGATTAAAAATGCCAATATTTTTCCATTTTTTCTTTTACCAATATTCTTTTTTAATTTGGAGTGATTTTTTTGTTGACAGGCAGGTGGAACAAAGATTCTGTACTTACGTATCATTGTCAGAGATGTTAGAGGCAGACCTCTTCCTGTCCAACTTTGTAACACTTTTGGTCCTCTTTAAATTGGTTTTAAATCCCTTCCTCATGAAGAAGTTCTGTAAATAGTACAAAGGAAAAAGTTGAAGTCAGTATTACGTACATGTACTGACAATACATTGCAGTTTACAATGATAAACAGAACCCCAGTCCATCACACACTTCTCAAATAATGGTGGTACCAGTTTGGACAGCTTGTTGGTATAGGTCCTAATCCTGCAGTAGACACAGTTGTCTGAATTATGCTCTGGAAATCACTGAAGCACACTTCTGAATCTCAAACTTAAAGTTGTGATTTTTTATTTGTAACTTAAATTTACATGTTTTCCGTCTTTTCAAATCCATGTATTTATTAAAACAAATAATGGTATACAGTAGATTACAGCCCACAGTCAAGCTTCAAAATACACATAAACTTTAGATAAACTTGCTATTTCAGAATTTAAATAATGATTCTTCAAAAGTTTCCCCAAGCAGTGAAATGCCATGTTGGTTCTTGTTACTAAAAACTGTATTTTTTTTAACTTGCCAAATTTCACCCACTGCCATTTTAAAACAATTTTACAGTGTTGAATTAGCTCAGGTATACAGATTATACTAATTAACTGTAGATATACATGTACAGTAAAACCTTGTTATACTGACACAATTTTTCTAGAGAAATTATGGCATTATACATAAAGTGGAAATTGAGGGAAACGTATAGTCGGATTGTTAAGAAAACAAGAAAAAGGGACTTTAAAATATATGTTGGCGGTAAATGAGCTGGCAAATGAAACGATGGGCATTATATCGAGGTTTTAGTGTGTATATATACTTTTTTTTTGTAAATAACACGAACAACTAAATAATAACACTCACTAACTTATTTTGACATCACCAACAGATGGACAGTCCATGACATCACAGAATATTTTACTGATAATGGTCTAGTATATAAAATATGTAATCTGCCAGTACATTTAGACACTTAATTCTGTGGAAGTCGCTAAGCAATATTTGTAATGATGGATTTTAAATACAAAACCTTCAATGTACAGTACGTTCCTTATATATATGAGGGATCAATACAAACGTAGCAGTCTTGGAGACCCAAACATGGACTGCTGATAACAACAGGGCCTGTCAGGTGTTTCATCCTGTTATTTTTACATGTCTATGCTAAAGAGTGAAATTCAAACAGCAAGATTTTTGACCAACTTTTTCATATTTGAAATATTATAAATATTTTTGTATTTTTTTTATATTTAAATAAAACAAGATATTTCTGATTTACATTTTTGTACTAAATAAGTGAAATTGACAGTTTAAAAACAAATTAACTTCCTTGTGACTCTGTCCTGTTAACACTCACAGTATTTAATTAGCTATTACAACCATGAAATGCTGGACCATTTCAGCGAGCATATGACACCATTGACAAAGGAGGCTGGAGATTTGTCCATTTTTTTTATTGAATATTGTTTAAGTCTTTGAAACCAACCATTTGTGTAACAGAAATGCAATCACAAACCGAGACCCATTTCCTCACACGTCAATGTAGACAAAGTTTATCTCCATTATCCTAATGATTCTTTGATTCTTCTACCTCATCATGTTATTCAAAACACAATTTTAGTAGTTGTTTCAGTGAACTTGTGTACACACAATGCTATAGGGCTTTGGTCACACAGTAATATATAGGATTTTGATTCTAATTAATAATTATGAATTATTGTCAGTTTATACAACATATAATTAACATATGTATCGCATGAATATTCTGAACAAGCAGCGATGGAAATTGATCACATTATTATCTATTCATGCAGACATATTTCTTTCTTTTTTTGCTTCCTTGTTAAATTATGAGCCTTAAATCAACGTAGATTTTTGTTTAATTTACTCAATTCTCTCACAATCAATCAATTTTTGTGAAAATCAACCCATGTTTGTTAAAGCTGCTCAATTCATTTTTTGTGAAAATCAACCTATTTTTAAGACCCGAACAAAAACTAAGCTAATATGAGCCTGGATATAAGTGATCAGACACCAAGTACTGTAATCAATATGGAGTTTAATAATTAATTTTTGATTTCAATGTAAGTTTATTCTTGATATCCTCCATGTGTGAAATTCCTCTCATTGCGGGTGTGGTAGGACCATTCATGGATTTTATTGATTATACCATATACCCACATAAACAATCGGAGCAGGAATCCAGACAGGTTTGTGATTGATAAACCAAGCTGAAGACCGGACTCTACCAAATGATCAGCAGGAATGAAATTAATCTCATTTTTATACAAGGTGACTCATAGGTCGAGGAATTTATTCAATCTGTACGGACAATCAGGCGATCAGGTCTAGTTCAGGGGCCACAATTTAATTAAGTTTGCAAAAATAAAATTCTCTGACGCCCAAAAACCTTGAAAAAAAAATGTTATCTAATTACAATGTTTTAACTGGAGTATTGAACATTTTGAGAAGATTGTTCTGGCTAGGATTTTAATGGATTTGAAAGTCGTAGGGTAATGCCATCCCATCAGTGGTCTGGTAGATAGCTGTACCCAATTGCACAGCAATAGCTAATAGCAAAAATCATGACCCAGAGCACACCTCTAAATAACAGCAATAGCTAATAGCAAAAATCATGACCCGAGCACACCTATAAATAACAGCAATAGCTAATAGCAAAAATCATGACCAAGAGCACACCTCTTAATAACAGCAATAGCTAATAGCAAAAATCATGACCCAGAGCACACCTCTAAATAACAGCAACATACATAATTAAACTTAAATTACAAACACTTCAAAGACATTTGTTTATCACATTATAGGCAGGGTTAATTTCAGGCATTTTATGGAAATAGTTTAAGATCTTTTTAAGTGAAGATGAATGTGTGCGTTTTAAAACAATTTACCAATTGAAAAACAGCTGATAAGTGATTTAAACTCTTTAGTTCATTAATCTCTTTTTTTTACCTTTAACAGATAATAGAACACCTGCATTTTGTAAAAAAAGATATTTTGAATTTTATTAATTTGAGATGAGGTGTTTAAGGTAATATGTACAACACACCTGGCTACTATACACGACCTACATGTTCAATTCTAACTCCACTTCATAGATTTAATTAACCGTTCATTCATAAACATCAGGTAATTTTAAAATGCCCCACAGAGATAGCTAGGTCAATACTGCGCGGACACAAACCAAGGCTTTAATGGAAGGACTTGTACAGCCAGCTGATCAGGTAGAAATCGTGTAACAGGCGGAGAGTTAAACAGGTATGTCAGTTAGGTTATGTATAAGGTGTGGACATCCAGGGTTGACACCTGACACACCTACTAAAGGTATGACACACCTGATGACAGTCTTCACACACAGCTGTTCTGGTCAGGTTAAAGCTAAGAACCATCAATCCCTTTTCCAAAAATATTCTTTCCAACACTGACACAGAAATTGATTGTCTGTCTACCCGAAGTCTGACCCTAACAGAACATTGCTTACAAAAGTACCAAATACACAAATTAAAAATAGTAAGATTCATCCTTTTGCCCCGTGCCTTGCTCGGTAAACCAGAACAAGGGAGGTAAGCTTCACCAACCAAAAATGTTGATATTGTACAGTCTGACAGTTTTGAACATCAAAATACTGAGTGGAACAGTTTGTCAGCTGCCTTCATCATCATGAAAAATATTTGTCTGTTAGTAATAAACAATTATTTTTTAATCCTGTGACCTTGATAACCTTGGCCTTTGGGAGATTTTTCAATCTTGCCATCTATGGTCCTCATAACCAAACAATGAAATGCCAGTCCATCAATTTTACTAACACATATTGATTTTTATTTTTATTTTTAATGCACATTACTGATTACAAGCCAAACCACATGAGTTTAGATTGTTTAGACTACCTGGTTTACAGATTTCAGTCCTGATAGATATGGCTACTTAACCCCTGTCAAAGTTCCTGTTGACCTCCACAAACTTCCTGTCATCAACCACACCTTGCCATATAAAACCTCTTTTTTATAGTTTGCCGATTTCTTTAGATAGAGAAGTGTTCTGATTGATTGACACAGGTGAGAAATTGACACAAACCTAATCAAATCAATCAATAAACGTAGGGAGTTGCTAATGGGTTTTAAATGTTCATTCTAAAGAAGTATGTAAGATGAATCATGTCCCGCACTTTGTCAGGTCAAACACACAGATCCCTCCATATACATCTTACAAGGAAACAGACCCTACTTTGACATACATTGTAGACTTATCTTTATTAAGCTGAAGCCATTTCCTCAGCTGACTGTACCCACTTCCTTCCACCAGGCCAATTAGTCCTATATATAATAACTGATTTTTTATATTTTATTTAAATACAGATTTTATATATGATGGTTTATGATCATGAGTTAATGAGCCGTGATTTGGTTTATTAGTTTTACCTGACTTGGCTGATCAATAAGCTGTAAATGGGGAGGACATTTCTTTCACTGCTTTGGTCGAGATGTCGGTACAAACTATATCACAGTTAACAATGCTTTGGTCGAGATGTCAGTACAAACTGTATCACAGTTAACAATGCTTTGGTCGAGATGTCGGTACAAACTATATCACAGTTAACAATGCTTTGGTCGAGATGTCAGTACAAACTGTATCACAGTTAACAATGCTTTGGTCGAGATGTCGGTACAATCTGTATCACAGTTAACAATGCTTTGTGAAAATACAGGGTACAAAATCGAAGTTATTAAATTAACACTTTAACATTGAATTTTTTGCCAAACTTGACAAGAATGTAAAAAGATATCAAGGAGATTTCAGTCCCTACAAAGTCCTAGCCATCAGCAGACATGACCTTCATGGCTCCTCGTCACACAGGTGTTGGGGTCGTGTGACCAATAAATCCCCACTAGCCCCGTTTTATCCCCTATTAAAGCCAAGGTGTTGGACATCCGATCCTTGTTTATTCAGCTGTGTGGTAGAGTACCTGAGTCTGCTAATTTACAGGTACATTTTCAATGTCTGTATCCATTCATCCGACTCAGGTGTACAGAATCAACAACCTAATACTGTTCAATATTTGCAGGTTATTGCTTCACGTCGTGTAATTTTAGATTTTCTCTGCAGAATTTAATCGATGAAAAAAGCACAGAAACTCCCCAGTTTCCTATGAATCTATACGTTATCATTCAGGTGTGCAGTAGATTTATTTTCATGGTACGGGTGATATCACAAGTGTTTGAACCAACTTCTAAAGACCCAGTGAGCCTGTATGATCAATATATGTAGCCATGCTGTTTAAAAGTAAAGCACATTCATGCTTTATTATAGATTTCAGTTGAATTATGCTAAGATTAGACACAACAGAACATGTTTTATTACTTTTGTGACATTTTTTCCCTAATTTCTTTGTAAGCCATCCCATTTAAGAGTGTTCGTGCCCAGTGGCCCTTTTCACCCAGTGGCCTACCACAAATCAGACTCCTCCCATACAAAGCCCCTAAAGTACAGTCCTCCAACACCCTAGTCTAGCTCTGTGGTCAGGTGATCACAGGACTGTGAAGTCTGTGGTCAGGTGATCGCAGGACTGTATATGCCTGTGGTCAGGTAATAGGAGGACTGTATATGCATATGGTCGGGTGACAGGACGAGGGATGTGTAAGTTTGTGGTTACCTATCAACAGGATACATCAGGTTCCTGAGGCTACACAGCACAGACACTTAGTATCACAAACACCTACACACATCAAAAGTCAGGCATGGTGTGCTCTCTTTCCAGAGGCAACTTTCTTCAATTCTTAAAAATTAGATGTGCCTTACTGATAATCAAAATAAAGTGCAAGTTATTTATTCTCAACTAAACTTTTATTTTATTTTTAATTCTGCAGAAAGATGTGGAAAAGTAAGCATAATTATTTGTGAGACAAGGGAGGTAACTCTAATATCATTTACCAGTAAAATTGAGACTGAAGTATAGTATCTATTGTTAAAATAAGCTGAATGAATAAGTTTGACCAACTGTCAAATAAGTCTGACCAACTATCAAATAAGTTACCCACCTGTCTTATAAGAGCTGTACTTATTGGACAGTTGTGACATCACATTCTAGAGAACTTTACCTACTGCAAAGTTGTATATCTTATAGTATGACAGGCAAACATTTTGGTAAAAAGCCCAGTTATAAAATATGACATTTTAAAGTTTGGAAAGCAGTATGCTGAGGTTTATGTTTTTTTTGTAGTTGAGTTATATTATAAACATTATCATGTAGTAGGACGAGGAAAAGTGATAAAGATAGTGCCGTCGCTAGGGCTCAAACCCTCGACCCTTGGCTCTCCAGCCCGATGCCCTACCGCTGAGCTAAAGGGAAATTCCTTACAGCTCACGCTTGTAAGGCAACCTAATCAATGCACATCTTTTACAATCATGTATATGGTAGTAGATATCTAAAGTATGGTCGCGTGGATACCGTAAGAGTTGGTCATAATCACAACTTTGACGGCTACCATTGCCATCCTACCTACGTCAATGTGATGCACTCAGATGCTATCCCTATATAAACATTTATTTAGGTAGCGTGTTCCAGAAAACCTATCAAGTTGGTTAAAGATGAAAATTGCTTCATAACATTCACTAGCGTTGAACTTTAATGATGCAGATTTTGGCAGTCTGCATGCTGAGTTTGCCAAATCACCAAAATTCATTTCCACAAAAAGTCCCCACTAACAATAATCATTATAAGTATATTAGGATGTGTTTGAAGACTGTTGGCATTACATTACTATTGCCAGTGATGCATTTTACGTTAGAACTTTTGTTAGACAGGTATAGACAGCTGACATTGTACAAAGTCCTCACGAATAATAACCATGCTGTTTAACTCTTGTAAACAAGGAAACAACAGGAAACAGAATCATTCATATCTGAAATTCAGGATCCCAGAGTCTTTGTTCAGTCTAGCACTAGCTGTATCTTCTAGTCTTAATATAGAAAACATGTCTTAACAAAGATTACATACAAATCCACCACATTCTGCAGTAACGTACTCACCGCTATTTTGGACGGTGTGGAGGTGGTGTCCATGTTTTCTTCGTCCAGTCCAGCAGAGACCAATGGCATACTCCCTCGGCGCTCATGGACTATCTTCTCGTAAGAAGAGTCTGCAAGTTTAAAACAAACATAAGTATTACTCTCAGCATCTAACAAAAATGTTACAAGTATCTTCTCATTAAGTAAGAATCTGCAAATGAAACAGTAATATAACGCATAAAAAATGTTAAAGAGTACAGGAAATCTCATCATAAGGAAATAATTTTATGTAGTTCTTAAGACAACCCACAGTGGTCACCTCCAGACACTTTGTAAGTAGGACTAACATTGTGGAATGTTACAAAGCATCACAATGGGTGATTGATATTTCTTGGGAAGGATTCAAGCTCCTTCTTATACATGTCTTCCTTGATGATCCCTACTAATGGAATCTGATATCACATCACAATGGAATGTCCTGTAATTGTCCTAAAATGTCCTGAGATTCCGCATTCTACTGGAAGGACATTGTTACCTACAGCTCTAGACCTGTTTCTTTGGTCAGTCTGTTGTCCTTACTAGATACCAGAGACTGGAATAAGGTCAGTTGTCCTTCTATGTGAGGACACCAACCACTACAGCTGTCAAATCTCTGCTCTTCTCCGAGGAGGACTTAGTGAAGTGGATAGCTTTTAACATCTCCTGTTGATGTGCTACAGGAATGTACTAGTACACAGTCATACAGTGTCAATGTAGGTCCTAAGGGATCTCAAACAGGCAGTCCCTTCTCTTAAGTACACAAACCGCAAATTAAAGTTATACCGAAGAAAATATTCTACACTTCTAAACTATACAGTAAAATTCATGACCTAGTAGCTAATGTAGGTCTTGATCTCCACATATTAAACCTCCTAAAGACTATGGACCCTGTATAAACCTGGGGATCCTCACACAAGTGACTTCTCTACCATAGGCCGAGTTAACATATCATTACCTTACGGGTACCTTAGGATTAAATATCAAATATTGTAACCATGTACCAATAATATATTTCGAAAAGGTTTCTCTAACATCATACAATTACACAGGGTTACATTAACTTAAACTGTTTATCCTTGTTCAAACTTACAATGGTTGCTAGATCATGACACAACCCCTACAACTGTCCAACACTGAATACTGAAAATTTGTATTTACTCAAGAGGAAGTGAGGATAAAGGGAGATTACCAGAGTTGACAAAGGTAAATAAAGTGTTCGGACAGGAAACCTCACTGACAGGAAACCTCACTGACAAGTGTGAAAAGTCATGTTACACCTGTATGACCTGGTGTCTGTTTTTAAACTAACATCACACTGACAATGATGTTGACTCGCCACTTATCCTAATCATAGATCAAACAGGTAGGCTGTATCTACCTGATGCTTCTTGTTCACCTGTAATTAGCCATATTATCACCTGTGGAGTGAATAGCTAGAATGTTAACAGAGCAAGGAGTAAGATTTCATGCATAAAGGAAACCTGTGCAGAGAGAACAATTCCATGAACAGAACAACTTCATAAACAGAACACCTCCATAAACTGAATACTTTATAAATGACACATTCGTATGAAAGAAGCATCTAAGTAAATATCTTTGTTAAGGTTTTACATTCTCACAAAAGCTAATGTCATCTGAAGACAGGGCCTGTAAGTAAATAACACATAAGTGACCTCTACATAAACAACACCTCTACATTAACACCACCTCCCCATGAACAACACCTCTACTTAAAGGACACCTCTATGTAAAAGACACCTTCACTTCAATATACCTCTATAAAAATGACACTGTTAAAAAAAGGACACTTTCAACTAAAGGAAATCTCCTTATAAAGACAATATAAACATAAATGACACATCTAAATAAAGAACAACTCAACATAAAGGACACCTGCACAGAGACACCTACATATAGGACAACTACACAGAGACACCTACACAGAGACACCTACATAAAGGACACCTGCACAGAGACACCTACATATAGGACAACTACACAGAGACACCTACACAGAGACACCTACATAAAGAAGGATACCTGCGAGACGCCTACATAAAGGACACCTACACAGAGACACTTACATAAAGGACACCTGTACAGAGACACCTACATAAAGGACACCTGCACAGAGACACCTACATAAAGGACACCTGCACAGAGACACCTACATAAAGGACACCTGCACAGAGACACCTACATAAAGGACACCTGCACAGAGACACCTACATAAAGGACACCTGCACAGAGACACCTACATAAAGGACACCTGCACAGAGACACCTACATAAAGGACACCTGCACAGAGACACCTACATAAAGGACACCTGCACAGAGACACCTACATAAAGGACACCTGCACAGAGACACCTACATAAAGGACACCTGCACAGAGACACCTACATAAAGGACACCTGCACAGAGACACCTACATAAAGGACACCTGCACAGAGACACCTACATAAAGGACACCTGCACAGAGACACCTACATAAAGGACACCTGCACAGAGACACCTACATAAAGGACACCTGCACAGAGACACCTACATAAAGGACACCTGCACAGAGACACCTACATAAAGGACACCTGCACAGAGACACCTACATAAAGGACACCTGCACAGAGACACCTACATAAAGGACACCTGCACAGAGACACCTACATAAAGGACACCTGCACAGAGACACCTACATAAAGGACACCTGCACAGAGACACCTACATAAAGGACACCTGCACAGAGATACCTACATAAAGGACACCTGCAAAGAGACACCTACATAAAGGACACCAGCGAAGAGACACCTACATAAAGGACACCTGCACAGAGACACCTACATAAAGGATACCTGCACAGAGACACCTACATAAAGGACACCAGCGAAGAGACACCTACATAAAGGACACCTGCACAGAGATACCTACATAAAGGACACCTGCAAAGAGACACCTACATAAAGGACACCAGCACAGAGACACCTACATAAAGGACACCTGCAAAGAGACACCTACATAAAGGACACCAGCGAAGATACACCTACATAAAGGACACCTGCACAGAGACACCTATATAAAGGACACCTGCACAGAGACACCTATATAAAGGACACCTGCACAGAGACACCTACATAAAGGACACCTACATAAAGGACACCTACATAAAGGACACCTCTACATGAAGAGACTCACATTCTACTGAGAACTTTTACAAAAAGGACATATGGAAGAAATTCCACTGACTACAAAGCTCCAACACTGAGATAGAAGGGAAGTAACTCTTACTGCTTTATGTGTATCCAGCCTAAAACAACAGACGGATCAATTAACTCCTAATAACAAACCTGCCTGCAATGATTCCACATGGCTGTGCACTAACTATTCATTCCTTTAAGGCAACGACCATAAAAACCATAAATGCAGACCAACTAATGGTCATTAGCCACAGATAAAATCTGAATTGTTAATTCAGCTAGAAAAGATTTAAAACTTTGATGGACTGACGGAAGATAAAAGTGGTGTAAGTGACGGAGAGCTGGGATCAATACTGCACAAGGTCAGGACGTAGGGATGTGAACATACAACACTGTTACGGCCAAAACTTGCCACATACATGAATAACGCTATTTTATTATTTCCGTACAAGTATCGTATGTACAAGCCACTGTGTAGTAGGGGTCTGGTTTATAAGCTTGGTCATCTCCATTAGGATAACACTGTGTGTGGACTACACAGCCTATCCATCGTCAGCCCTGACAGATCAATCAAAATCACAATTGTTGAAAATGTGAACAGAGAAAGAAGAGATTAGAATGTAACAATAGAATATACAAATGGAACGCTTTGTACAGAACGTAGCGTGTGTAAACCAGGCTAAGATAAAGTAGACTCTTTACAACATAACAAGATCAATACAATGTCATGTGTTCTTTTATGTTTCCTACAGAGAGAAACACAATTATTGAGAAGTGTGTACTGCTAGTCCCCATCGTGTTCTTCCGATTCCCAAATATAAATTGGTTCATCTTGTCGACCATAAATTCCTCAGCATATAGCCTTCATCTTTAATTTGATGTGAACAGATGGGGCAGGCTACATCGTGTTACGGTAGGGAACAGCCTGTATTCTAGTTAGTGTGTACTTGAGTGAACATCAATCTGTTTCTGTTAGGTCTGCAGATCTATGTCAGACAGTGACACTGAGACATCCCTAAATCCAGCATCGCAGAGCAACCAAGACAAAGTCGCAGCACAAATACTCAAGGTTTTACATTAGCATAAAAGACATGGTCATAGCACAAGACCAATGCTTACAGCGTAACGCAAACTGTTACATAATAAACTCTACTGTCAGAGAATCAGTAAGACTATGACAGCAGACAACATCAGTGTTACCTTGTATCACCATACTATAGTATGCTAATTAGATATGTAAAAACTCTGCACACCATTGGAGATGGCCTCAGTTCTTCTATTGACATTTTTAATGTCAGTTATCAATCAAACTCAACAACCAATCAGATTTCAGAATGCTATAGCCAAGCACGCATCAGATTTACACAGCATTGAACTTGGTCTCGTGCAATCTCCATAATATGTATCTGCCTCCCAAACTTCATCATTGTACCTTGACAATATTTACCAGTATGTAAGTTATTTTACTGCAACTACCAACCAATAAGGTTGCAGTAATTAAATATGCATAAGATCTGTTCAGCAAGGAAATGGACTTAAGTTTTACTTAGACCAAGTTCATGAAATTTCTTAACCGAGATATTTTTCCATAGCTACTAAAGGCATCACTCAGGAAAATCTTAACTAACATCTGAAGAATGTACAGAAAACTGGGGTCAGATTTAGTGAAAGAGACATAGGCAATTTCCACTAAATATAACTTTCGACCTCTTTTCTCCTCATACATATGTATCTCACAACAAAATTTCATTGAAATTGTACCATATTTAGCGACGTAATTGATCAGAAACCAAATGTCTACCACACATAATGTACATGTATGGACAGATGGAGGCTGTATGTACTACAACCTGTCTTTGAAGTGTTAATATATGACTTGATTGAAGAATGCTTTTTTTTTCGAGTAGCAAAGATATGAAAAGAAAGGGAAGAAAAAATTAAAATATAGGAAGAGATAAGAAAACCCAGTAAGGCTTAGATGGATTAGGTTTGGGGGGACTATCATGCTATATCATACCAAACTTTACACTTGAACATTTTCTGAGATCCTTTTCTTTCTTTGAAGGAAGAGGGTAGCTGACATGTTAAATCTAAACATAGGAGTGTTCCCCTGAATGTACTAGCAGACTCAGTATTTGATTTACTGAGAAATCAACAGCAGAAAATCATTTTGCACTCTATTGTTGGCTGGCAATTGAAGGGAGCAGATACATAAAACAGTAACTAACAACCCTGCCAGACAACCTGGCAGGAACAGAGGAAACATTCATCGAACAGGATAGAAACAGTTGGAGACAACTGTAGAACATGGAAGATCTCAGGGAATAATAGCAGTGATCTGAGTCCCTGTAAATATCGTAAAGATGTCTGTACATCAGTCTGTATGTAAATGTACCATGTACTAAACTGGACCCTGTATAAACAGTACACCTGTATAAACCAAATATTCACCAACTAAAGATTTACACCCCTATGTACATTAAACCTGTGTTATCTGAACCATTTCCACTACAGCAATCTCATTAGTGTTCAGTTTACACAGGTGTAACTGGATTATTTAAACACACATAAAAGAATAAAAGTGATAGAAATAATTTATGAATAGGAGAAAATTACAAGGTACTATAGTCATATCATTGAGTCCTTGTCTGAGAACCACGGCATGTTGGATCTGTACCTCGAGCTAACCCCGTAATTACCTCCCGGTCATCACAGCCTATTCACTAGCCCTAATCAAGTTTCATGGCCTGATAATGTTTTATTGCTATTCATTTGTTCCTTTTTCATTCCAGCACCTTAATGTCAATCCGATATTTGTGTTTAAAAATTCAACATAATTTGAGACATGTCGAACAGTCCCAATCAATAATCTGACAAAACTAACAAAAACACGAAACATTAACGATTATTTTAATGTTTCAGACACATTGAAATTGTAGCTTAGAGTGGGGCCCATTTAGGGGTGGGGTGGAGGGGGGATCCTCTACATCGATGTACATCAAACAGGGACGATTAAATGTCAGTTGACCGAGTACAAATCTGCTGATTCTAAACCAAATCATCAACTCTTCTGGTGAAAATTACAAAACTAAAATACTTCATTTCATATGTCATTTCGAAACCATATAATTATGTGTTACGCAGTACTACATACAGAATTAGTCAACATTTGGCAATGGTGATGGTATACCATATGAACCCAATGGTGTTTTATCTCTCTTTACAAAAGGGTATATAATGACTTAGAATTTTTAAAATCCAACAGGATTAAATATTTATAAACTAGTGTCGAATATAAGCTGGACATTTTATTGAATATGCACAACTTTCATTAAAGGAATTAAATAAAATAAGGGCCTGTATAGATATGTCAAAATAAAGTATTGTTAAGCATGATATTGTATATGGCTTTAAGTTGAATGCATTGCGAATATAAAGTGCCTTTTTTTACTGTTTTTACTTCTAGGTATGGCCTGGATCTATTTCCTGTCTTTGATGACTCAATTTGAATTCTCATCACCCAAGCAAGCAATGGTTGGGGAGGTGGTTCATGGTGGCTGCGATCCTGACGTAAGGCCATAATATTACCGGCCACACTAAGACATGTATGGTGACACTTACTAAGATGGATGTATATTAGCTCTCAATAAGACCGCTATATACTATATGATTACCCTGGGTATATATCACCCGAGGTGCCATCACTATGGTCCTCGGGTCGGGTACCAGGCAGAACTGGCAAAGACCACCTGAAAGGACCCAGGGACCTATTATTGATCCTTTTAGAACACAAATGACAGGCCACGACTCAATTATTGATGTTAATATCAAATTACAATTGCTTAATCCATAATCGGTTTTATATAAACATCACAATTGTTGCTTTGTAAATATGTTACTTTCAGGTAAACCTTTGAAACCATGAGACACTTTCAGTCTAGCCGGTATAAAACCTCCCATAAATCATTTACACGAGACACTACTAGCCTTGTAGTGGTAAAAATGTCTCACAAAATCTCCTTCTGTAAAGTCTGTGGTCAGTAGATGACCAACAGAAGATGTCTCACCCCCTATCCTCATGTTATGTCTTCAGTGGTCAGTAGATGACCAACAGAAGATGTGTCCCTATCCTCATGTTATGTCTTCAGTGGTCAGTAGATGACCAACAGAAGATGTCTCACCCCTATCCTCCTGTTATGTCTTCAGTGGTCAGTAGATGACCAACACAAAATGTGTCTCACCCTCTCTCCTACTGTTATGTCATACTCTGAGTAATAAAACAGCTAACTCAATTACACCAATATGCTGACACACAAGATCTAACCATTACATAATAGACGGTAAACCCAGTACAGAGACCACTGCAGATTTATCATAGACGGTGCATATGTATTGATTGTTACAGACTTCATAGTTTGCTTCTCACTTTAAATGTCTAGGAGAAGCTGTTAACCAATTTTCCAGTTGCAGAGTAGGGTTTAGATTGATGATGCATGGGACTTGTGTAATTGCTAGTCAATAGTTAGATCTCCATCACACAATACTGGTATAAAACCTAACACTGTAGACTTGCTGTGGGAACCAGGATCCCTGTCTCTATCCAAATACTCCAGCTAGAATGTTTTCTATCATATCACAGTGCAACCTGTAAAATCTAAACCCTGTATAATCTGGATATCTAAATGGACCTGTATCTGGTCTCCTACTCTATATATAGGATCTAACATGAGTTTCCATTTCACATGAGATTTATGAAATGAGTCTAAGAATTTTTCAATTTAGCAAGCCTCTGACGAACTGAAATGAAAAATTTGTGACAACTTTCATAAATTTCAAATGAAATGAAAACATGTGTAAGATCCTTTTTATCACATAATCAAGATTTGTATCCTTTATTTGGGTAAAACATCAATTTTCATGCAACCTTGAAATGTAAAAAGCCGCCATTTTGACTCCAGCGCGTAAGTCTGTGACGTCATGTACTTGTCCTAGGTGTGACGTCACAATTGAAACAATTGAAACTTACAACCAATCACAGGGCTAATAGGTCACATTACATTGGTTAATATGCAAAAAATATTACATGGGTTAATATTAACTGGATAACATGGTACATTATGTGATCAATATTTTATAATTGTATAGATTACATAAGTTTCCCTGTAGTACCAGCATATTGTCATCCTAATATCTTCAAGCCTTAAACTTTTTCTACATATTGGACATCAGAATGGTATCAATATTGTTTAAATTATGTTTCTTACTTGTTGAAGATTCTCTTGTACTTGAGTTGCTTTATATTTTATTGGTACCCATTTGTGTAACTGGGCAGACTTAAGTATCTTTAACCTATTTGGTAGAAATCTACCCCAGATCTGTATATATATTCCCATACCTTTCTACAAATAAACCAGATCTGTATATATATTCCCATACCTTTCTACAAATAAACTCTCTATTTAGATAAATAAAATCCTGTCAATCCTAGTGACTTAACTAGATTGTCACTATACTTACTTTCATCATCCTCTATATCCGGACTGTCCATTACATTGTACGGACTATCCAGTCGGAAATCGGAACTGGATAACAGGGAACGCTGGTCACTCCCAGACGACTGGTCACACCCGCCAGTCAATATACTGGCCCTTTTGAGGAATGTCATATTACCTGAGCGGGAGTTTGAGCGGACCTTGTACCAGCCATCTTTACACTTAAAACAGCTACAGAAACACTCCATGGCTGTGTGGTCTACATAATCACCAACAAACAGTGAATCCCGCTAATACTAGCAAATCTCATGTCTTTTGTTTCTATACAGTCCATACTTGTCCCATGGAGTCTAAATATTAAGACCAAATAGTCTCTCCGATACAGGCGAAACTATTATCTCTTTTGTTTCAAAACAGTCTTGCGCATCCTTACATTAAATAAGATTACGGTAGAATTTACTACTTTTAAATCCTTTGTTTCGAGGCGATGTGTATTTCGACCGCTCCTAAACAGCTTTAGATAGTCAACGTAATAGCACCGCTCTGCTTATCCTAGAAAATCTCTGCAGTATGTTGTTTCAAAACAGTTTTATAATATGTAAGATCACACTAACAGAGTAAATCAAACTTGAGACTTTGAAACAATAAAGCCTGCGTATTCTGACAGCTTCTTAACACTTTTAACAAATGTTTCTGTTGTAAATGACTCCTTCCATTGGAGAGTTAAATGAACAGGTAAAGTGGTAGAACACAGAGGTAATGACAGTCCAGTATCACTGTCACCACAACGTTCTTCATTCTTCGGGTCAACGAGTTCCACAGGATGACAGGATTTTTTGTCTCTGCACTGCATACTGCACAGCTCAAATAACAAGTTCCCTTTTAATCTGTATGGTCCGTGTGTGTTGAAATACTTGATTTGTTTAAAAGAATAAATTAGCTGTGGTTCACTCCTGGAGAAAAATGGCCAATCCCAGGATCAATAGGGAAAAGGTCATAAAAAATATCCGTCAATACATATCAACACAGCTATGCTGAAGCCAGTGTTCGGTAGTTAAACATGGGCAGACTTAGCATTAAGGACTTGATGTTTACTTATATAGGGTGCAACTACAAGTCAGGGTCGCTATCTCTACACATTTAACATTATAAAAACTTTATAGAATTAACCTTTCCTTTGATTATGACATGATGCCGTCAGTTTTTGTTCTCAATGTTCTAGATAAACAGAGGTTCCTGATATCTATCCAAAAAGCCTCCCCAGTCCTTTGAGGAGGCGTATCTCAGGTTATGTGAAGTACACAAAAACAGGTTTCTTTTGAAAAACAGTTTGATCCCAACTCCATCACAACCCGGAGGTGTATTGTACATGTATCAATCACAACATACCATATATACTCAATAAAGACGAAATCTTCAAACTCATCCTCAACTTCACTTGATTTCACACATCTCCTCTCCTGGAGACGTGACACTGCAGCATTCAAGATTGTACTCCCAAAAATGTTCACTGGTATAACACAGGAGCATCGGACATTCGTCACAACGTTCCTATCACTGCCACAAGATGGCACCTCTGTCACAACAGGTCTGCTGCCAGGTTCTTACCTACTCCACTGCTACATCGTAGATATAGCATGTTCAAACTTCATTTTCTACCCCACGGAAACTAAGAATCCAGTTGGAAGAGTGTATTTTCAAGCTCAATGCGAACGGTGTGGCGAGAATGCCCAAATATACTGTTACGACTACAGCTCAAATTTATAGGATCAGAAAAGCGTTCTACCAATAAAATTGCAGCAGGCGAAATCCTGAGTTATAGATCACCTAGCACTATATCACAAGGTAGGTGACTCGGATGGTTTTGGAGGTCAGGTTTATACCACTGAGGGTTAATTGTACAAGTATAACTGTCGGTCACGTCCACAATAAACAGGGATTACATATGAAAGATACCTAACTCGAACACACAGGCTGACTTTTATGTTCAAATCCTAGAGTCTGTCTTTAAATACTATAGTTCATACTTTCAAGCATTGCAGATTTTTTGTGTGTGATCTTAGTGGTGATTATAAATGTCTGGAAGACATATGTACTCAGTCACAGCACCAAAAATGTCACTAATAGATCCACAGCTAGAATTTCACATCAACAGTGACAACAAAAGGCCCACACACAAATACATCCAAGTGTGTGAACTCTATCCAAGATTAATATAAGTTTGTAGATCAGACATCACCATTCACACAACACCTAACATCTATGTATCTCCACACTCGGTGTGTATTTCCCTCGTACAGGTATCTCTGATCACCTGCATGTCTATGACGGAGTGTAAAAGCTGATAGGATTCATGGCACCCTGCGGACCAGAGAAGACTGTTAATTCTTAATACCTAAGACTCGTTCCTACCCAGTCCCTGCTTCACATGTGTAAACATGCAGCGACTGTCCCCCGAGAATGGTAATCCTTCGCTTCCATCAATACTATTTTTCTGCCATAAAGCTGTGGGTGATCTTTTTATAATAGCTGTTTAAGGTCTTCACAAAGATGAGTCAAAAAACCACTGACATAACTTCAGCAGAACATAACCATGGTGTACTGTGACGTTGGTGAGGAGGAGGAGGAGAAAGGCTCCCTGCCTCGCTGTACATACAGACGCTTTACGCGATATTGATTCTGTCCCGTTTATTAGGTTTTTTATTTATCTTAATTTTCCACTGAATATCAGCTTTTCACATCGAAACATGCTACAAAAGAGCATAAAAGTTTAACAAATAGCTGGGCCTTTTTTTCCTGCTTTAATTTACGGTTTGCTATCAGGCTTGAGTGATCTGGATATTAGATATGCTAATTTTTTCACTTCCGTTTCTACACCAGACATCAATAATAATTTTACCTGTTGTGTGCACACATGAACAATTCCTACAGATTCTCCCAGCACAAGGTTCAATCCTGTCAGCCTAGATCATAATTAAACATGTTTATATTGGCCCGATTTCTTTAAGCACAAAACATTTTGTAGTTAGTATTATATAACCTTGTAATCCAATGATTATAACAGAAATATGTTTATGGAGACTTAATGGTCGATTCAACAATAATAAAAACAAACATTTTCTGAGAAGTTTAAATGACATAAAGCTAACACTGAGAAGGTAATATAAAGCTAACAGGATCAGGCCTAGACTTAGACAAATTAGCACATCAATAGACTGGTGTAGGCCACAGCCGATATTTTGTAGAATGTCATGGTGAGCGAGGTAATTTTACAGACATCTGATCAACTATCACTGATTATGCAATGCATGTCTGTATCATTGTGGCTAGGTAGGTTATTGACTATTAATATTACCGGTAGGTTCTATCTCGTACAGGTGTGTGTATAACCATAGGACTGACTGCACCCCTATACAAACACCCCTAGATAGGGTGACGTCCAACTCGCAGTAAACCAGGGCCTTGGGAGACCATCCCTTGGACAAATACATGTGGTACGTACTGTGGTCAATCTTGACAGCTAACTTTTTTCTTGAGCTTATATATATCAGCATGTCATACCAGGTATATAGTAAAATGAAGCCCTGCAGGGAACCAATATATTTGGATGGTTGTCAAGTGGTAAATTTGGAGTCACATTGACATTCTGAAATAGAATGTCTATTTATGAAAGAAACAGTTATTTATGATAAATAAATTCAATAAATACATTCAAAAACAGACTTGATAAACACTGGATTGATCTGGAACTGAAATACAATTACAGAGCTAACATGCTTTGTTAAACATGTGACATTCCTAACTGAACCCTCATATAGGTGAACAGGAATGTAGTTTTGTGAAAACATGTTGGAGTCCAGTACAGAAAATCATACAGATCCTGTATTCGAAGATAAACTTAACTTTTAAATTGTTGTAGTGGCAACCAAAACCAAAAACAAAATGTAGGTATAAGGGAGGCAACTCTTACAACCTTATCACCATCTGTTGAAATCCACACAAATGACTGTTGGCAGCCTATCCTAGCGACCCACGTTCAATGTGAACATGGCACCAGTCCAGTGAGGGAAATATGCTAAACTAGGGTAGGAATATTGAAATCTGCTGTTTCTTATTCAGTTATTTACACAATCTCCATATTGGCATGCCTGCCACAAATAGACCCACTGTATAATTAGCACATTTCTGAGTACCCTAACTGCACTTTAGGGAATCTAGGCTGACCACTTCATAGTGCTAATGTACTCATCAATGAACTTTGACCGACCCTCAATTCTGGGTACCTATCTATGCTGAATACACTACAGTCCTAATAGACCCTAAATATCTAATTCCTGTCTATTATAAGTAACCCCCTGTCTAAGGTGTCTATAGAACCCCTGTCTAAAGTGTCTATAGAACCCCCTGTCTAAGGTATCTATAGAACCCCCTGTCTCTAAGGTGTCTATAGAACCCCCTGTCTAAAGTGTCTATAGAACCCCCTGTCTAAGGTATCTATAGAACCCCTTGTCTAAGGTATCTATAGAACCCCCTGTCTAAAGTGTCTATAGAACCCCCTGTCTAAGGTGTCTATAGAACCCCCTGTCTTAAGTGTCTATAGAACCCCCTGTCTAAGGTGTCTATAGAACCCCTTGTCTAAAGTGTCTATAGATCCCCCTGTCTAAGGTGTCTGTAGAACCCCCTGTCTGAAGTGACTATATAACCCCCTGTCTAAGGTGTCTGTAGAACCCCCTGTCTGAAGAGACTATAGAACCCCCTGTCTAAGGAGTCTATATAACCCCCTGTCTAAGGTGTCTATAGAGCCCCCTGTCTAAGGTGTCTATATAACCCCCTGTCTTAGGTGTCTATAGAACCCCTTGTCTAAAGTGTCTATAGAACCCCCTGTCTAAGGTGTCTATAGAACCCCCTGTCTGAAGTGACTATAGAACCCCCTGTCTACAGTGTCTGAAGAACCCCCTGTCTTAATGAAAACCAATTTGTAAATACTGTGGCTGATTGTAGTTAGTACGAACAGACAATTTACTTTGTTTAAGAGATTATTCGCTGTGTCATAGCAACAAGATTGTGACAAAACAACAAAATTCTGTTAGATCACTGTTCTTGTCTAGTGCATAAATACTTGTATGATTTATTCATTATAAAACGTACAATTTTGAGATGTCATCCTGGTAAAATACTAGCTGCATTCGACTGTCTCAGCTAGAGAAAATTTCTCTTTAGCTCACTCGGTAGAGCGTAAGACTAGTAAGCATACCAGCATGTAAAAATATTTTATTCTTAAACACTTTTTTGCGCTTATGAGTTTGTTTGTGACTTTGTAGTTTTCCTTTAAACCCTTAAATGGGCTACCGATTCAAATACCAACTGTCCTTTACATTTACAATTAACTGTGCCCGACTCTCATACCAGTAACTTGTTTACTGGAACTACGTGTTTAAAAGGAAATCTGTTCTACAATGAACTGTGGTCTACCCTATATACTAAGTCCCTGTCTATAAGGAAAACACATCTACAATGAACTGTGGTCTTCCCTATATTCTAGGTCCCTGTCTATAGTGACCACCTGTCTATAAGAAAATCACATCTACAATGAACTGTGGTCTTCCCTATATACTAGGTCCCTGTCTATAGTGAGCACCTGTCTATAAGGAAATCACATCTACAATGAACTGTGGACTTCTCTATATTCTAGGTCCCTGTCTATAGTGACCACCTGTCTATAAGGAAATCACATCTACAATGAACAGTGGTCTTCCTTATATACTAGGTCACTGTCTATAGTGACCACCTGTCTATAAGGAAATCACATCTACAATGAACAGTGGTTTTCCCTATATACTAGGTCCATGTCTATAGTGACCACCTGTCTATAAGGAAATCACATCCACAATGAACTGTGGACTTCCCTATATACTAGGTCCTTGTCTATAGTGACCACCTGTCTATAAGGAAATCACATCTACAATGAACTGTGGACTTCCCTATATACTAGGTCCTAATGTCTATAGTGAGCACCTGTCTATAAGGAAATCACATCTACAATGAAATGTGGACTTCCCTACATACTAGGTCCTTGTCTATAGTGACCACCTGTCTATAAGGAAATCACATCTACAATGAAATGTGGACTTCCCTACATACTAGGTCCTTGTCTATAGTGACCACCTGTCTATAAGGAAATCACATCCACAATGAACTGTGTTCTACCCTATATACCAGGTCCCTGTCTATAGTGACCACCTGTCTATTATAAAATCACATCCACAATGAACTGTGGTCTACCCTATATACCAGGTCCCTGTCTATAATGACCACCTGTACATATAGTGATAACTGTCTACCTTAACTGTCTGAATGAAGAATGAAAAACAATCATGCTTCTGTTACATAGTTTATGATGCCACTGAATACATGTACCAACAACCTGTCTACAGTGACCACCTTTCTACTGTGCTCATGTGATTAAATGTCTACAACAGTTCTTATACAGGATAACCAGTGTTTACATTAACACTGTACATTATAGAAACCTGCATACACAGAACCTAATTACAGTGGTTAATTATAAACATTTTCTCTCCCTATAATATGAATATCCAATATGCCCCACAACTTGATGTTTTGACAATGAAAGGATATTCAAAAGATCAGTGACAACTAAAAATAATGCCAATTTCTATTGAAGCTTGTTATTTTCTTCAAGTTTAAAATCCAGTTATGATCAGATCTATCGGCCAACATCTGATCATAGCTAACAAATGATCAAGAAATCACAATTTTTTGGAATAAAATGGAAGAAATATTCTTAAAATGACACAACAAAACTTAATTACCCCATAATCCGCGGATGTACTTGAGTAGCAGCATGCTGAGAATCCTCGTGTGACGTCTATCCACCGCCTCACAGAAAAATAATCGGTAACACAACACAAATTACGACATCCTTATTGCGTGCTAATCCGATCAGTCGAATGAATCAACGGCACATCTCACACTCACTTGTCTCCAATTTAT